AAGGACCAAACATATTCACTCTCAGAAAAAAAGTACAAAAGCTGTCACTGGGGCTGTACCTTTTCAAAAGGTACACTTTTGTACCCAAAGGCTGCATATTGGTACCTTAGTGGTACACATTAGCACCTAAAATGTACATATTACCACCTAAAATGGACATATTAGCTCATGAAATGGACATATTAGCACCTAAAATGGACATATTAACACTTAAAATGTACATATTAGGACATAAAATTGACATTTTAGCTCCTGAAATGGACATATTAGCACCTAAAATGTACATATTAACACTTAAAATGTACATATTAGCACATAAAATGTACATATTAACACCAAAAATGTACTTATTAGCACCTAAAATATACATATTAACACCTAAAATGTATACATATGAGCACCTAAAATGGACAAAAGTTTACTTTTTGAAAAGGTATAGCCCCAGTGACAGCTTTTGTACCGTTTTTTTCTGAGAGTGTTTAATAGAAGGATTTTCACCAGTACTCAGACTTTTGAACCACTCTATTTATTTGTTCATTCGTTTCTCCCCCCTATCTTGTGTTCCCTGATTTTATTAGAGAGAACATGTTTGTCAAAGCTGCCAAACCAATGTACGGCATGACATGCATGGCCACGTTTCCCTACAACCTAAATTTGGACTAAGAGACAGAGTGTTGTGCTGAATCTCGATTATACAATTAGACAAGGCAATAAACATGTACTTATATAAGCAAAAACCATGGCCAGCAGGCCAGCAATATTTGATTTGACATGGATACCCCTTAGCTGTAAATAAACCACAATTGCCTCGCATCAACCAAGACTGCTCGTTCACATCATTCAGCCATGATTGCTGGCAAACTACCAATTAGCAGCTTATGGGATGCGGCTATGCAAATGTGGGCTGACTGGGCTTAGACGCCAATCAATGCCGGCCTGAACCAAAATCAATGACACAGTTGACATGTTTTAATAGGCTCTGGGTGAAGCCAGGTTTCTCTGCCAGCCAAGAGATTATTTTTGCTTGTGGTAAAATAAAAATGAAGGCTTACTCTCAAACCCAACAACCCCTAACTCTTCCTGCTCCAGTTCTCTCTTTCACTTATGACCTACTTCCAATCTGACCAAGCCTTCCTCACAAATAAATCACTCAGGTACGGAAATCGTGAGCCAGGGATATTCTACCAATCTTCAAGCGAATCTACACAGGAATCGAGACAGCCCGGAGGAGGTTGTGGACCGTGCCTCTGTCTTGCAGGTGAATAAAAGTCAGCTGTTGATATTCCAACACTGCAGTGCCAATCAATTTGAACACCCTGAGGAATGAGCACTCTGTTTACTTTAGCGTCAGTCACTTCTCATTCACTAATATTTATGTGTGTGGGTGTAGCAGACATAGGCCAATAAGAGCTGTGCGTTTAAACCTCACTCCCCTGGCCTTAAGATGTGTGCTAGTGACTGACACAAGCGTTTGGAGTCTATAGCGTCCTTGTTAGCGTGCGCCAGACACCCCACTCGAGTTTGAATCCCACTCGGAGTGGGTCGAGCAGTGTGACTGAGATTTAGGGGGGTGAATGTAATAGACATATAGGCCAGTAAGAGCTGCGTTTAAACCTCGCTCCCATGGTCTCACGAGGCTGCATTTTTTAGCGTCCTTGTTAGCGCGACCGCCTCCCACGCCAGGGACCTCAGATCGAATCCCACTCAGAGCGGGTTGAGTAGGACCATGGGCACACATATTATGACAAAATCAAATAGAACGTGGAAATATCTATAACGACAGCCTGCTCAATATGAGGCTCTTACTCTATGGATGGTGTTTATCTTGGGTGTTTCGAGGGACTTTATGTACCGCAAATTCATATGTATGAGTCTCTGTGTGTGTGTTTACATTGCATGTGGTATAGTGAAATACAGGGCAAGAACATGTGGGAGAGCTGGAACAAGCCCTGGAGTGCATTAGTCCAGGTTCTGTATTTTATTTTTTATTTTTTTAAGTTTAACTTCAAAGGTTGCCAATTCTTTCTTGACTCGTTGGACCTGGCGTACCCTCACAAAGGAATAAAAAGAATAGGTTTCAGTCAATTGCCTGTTGCAGAGTATGAAAATCAGTGGAGCGTGTGAAAAGAAATGGATGATCATATTCCATAAACTTTTTTTTTTTTTTAATAAACATAAACGCCTGATAAAATGAATCACGCCTTTTTTTGGTTCAGTTATTTAAAGAAAGGCTCGCTGCTGCTTCCAAATGTTTTTACTTGCTCATACTGCCCCCTCCTGGTGAATACAGGAACATGGGGTGTTTATTGTCATTCATTAGCTGTCAGAGTGAGACTTCTTACATAAATTGGCCCCCCGGTGAGAAACTAATTTCCCAGTACTCAAAGGATATGGTCAGCACTTAATATAAATGACAAAGGTGTCTCATGCTGTTGGCTATCACAATACAAATGATGGGGATCATCAGGAGACAGGGGACTAAATTAGCCTTTTGTGTGGTGAGTGATTCAGCCATACTCATTTTGAATGAATGATTCTAAATTAAAGAAAATATCCCCTCTTAAGGGATTTCTGTTTAACTTTGTCCAAAGACAGATGTTCCCACATAATAAATATAGTATGTAGAGAGTGGTGATATCATTTCCAAAAGAAACCGGTCATTTCATATCTTGTTGTTTAGGCCTGGAACGTATTATGATTATATACAGTATTTTTCTAACATTCATTTTAATACTCTTCTCTTGTTTAGTGTTGACTGCATTGGTGGTTAGAGGGCATAGGCTAATGATATGTTGCTGACATAATCTGTGTGCTGTATGGTTGTTTGATTGGGTTGGGCTGTTATCTGTTGTCATAGCAGTGTAAAACTGACCTTCATTCTCATGTGTTAAATTGTTTTTGTATGAATTGTATAATTTACCTCACCAATATCAATAGCCAAACCACAACATTTCCAATCTGAGTTGGAATCAAACATGCATACATTCATGGAAGAGTTATGAGTGGAACTAACTAAATGTCAGACAATTAAATGTGCGTAGTCACGATTTTACCTCATTTTTTTTTTTACTTAATCTGTTGCTTGTGCAAAATTGATGTTAAATGTCATGGCTAGCCTCAGCCTGTCAACTGGATGCAAAATTAGACCTTTCAAGAACATTTTAAGATCCTGTTAGTAGTAGCCCTGTAATTGTTAGGCATGTACAGGGAACATTTTATGGCATTGTCTTTTTCTTTTAGTGCTTTTATTAAAATCTACTGTTTGTAAGCCTTTGGTAAATGACAAGCAAGGCAGATGGAAAATGTGCGTATGAAATAAATGGATATAGGCTACATAGAGGTAAACATACAGTGTTGGGGAGACCAGGGACAGTCAGTAATAAACACCATTAGTTTTAATGAAGAAGAAGAGGTTGTAAGACTCTGTAAAACTACAACTACAACAACAACAGTGGCAGTAAGTGGATGGACAACAAATTCGCACAAATTTGAATGGACTAAATAAATAAAACAAAATGTTTGTAACACTTTACAATAAGGTTCATTAGTTAACATTAGTTAAGGCATTACTAATATGAACTAACAATGAGCAAATCATGTTGTTAGTTAACAAAATACGGCTCTTCATTGTTTGTTCATGTACAACCTTTGATTTTAATAACATATAGTAAATGTTGAAATTTATATTAACTAAGATTAAAAATACTGATGAATTATTGTTAATTCGTGTTTCATATTAATTAACTAATGCTAACCAATGGACCTTGTAAAGTGTTACCAAAAGTCTAATGTTTTATTTTAGTGTTAAAACCCACCCTAGTGGAGTGTGTAAAAACAGCTCTTAAAGGAGTAGTTCACTTTAAAAAAAAAACTTTTGCTGATAATTTTCTCACCCCCATGTCATCCAAGATGTCCATGTCATTCTTTCTTCAGTCGAAAAGAAATTAAGGCTTTTGATGAAAACATTCCAGCATTTTTCTCCATATAATGCACTTCAATGGGAACCAAAAGGTTCAAGGTCCAAAAGACAGTTTCAGTGCAAACTGCAAACTGTTCAAAGGGCTTTGAATGATTCCAGACGTCTTATCAAGCGAAACAATTGGTCATTAAAAAAAAAAAGTTTTCTTGCTCTGTTCTGTGATGCACGTTCATGAATCTACTGTTCGAACTCGTTTATCAAAATGAACTGATCTTTTTTAGAGTCAATGGTTCAGTCAACGAACGAAATGAACGAAATGACTCGGAAAAAGATTTGTTAATTTTGATGAACAAGGTCGAACAGGAGAGTCACACAGAACAGAGCAAGGTGAGCATTTGAGCTTATACAACTCTTTGTTATTTTATTTATTTATTTATTTATTTATTTATTTATTTATTTATTTATTTATTTATTTATTTATTTTTAAATGACCGACCGATCGTTTCGCTTGATAAGACCCTTATTCATCGTCTGGTGTCGTTTAAAGCCCTTTGAACAGTTTGCACTGAAACTGTCTTTTGGACCTTGAACCATTTGGTTACCAGTGAAGTGAATTATATATTGAGAAAAATCCTGGAATGTTTAATCAAAAACCCTTTTTCGTTTTCTTTTCGACTAAAGAAAGAAAGACACGGACATCTTGGATGGCATGGTAAATTGTCAGCAAAAGTTTTTTTTTTTTTTTTTTTTTTTTTTTTTTTTTTAAAGTGACAGGATTAACCATGAGAAACATAAATACTACAAAGTGTGCCCAAACCTTTGACTGGCAATGCTAAGTAGTTTGTTTTATTATTAGGCTCTATATCACGAAATACTGACATATAAAATGAAAACATTGCAAATATTACGAAAACGTTATTTAAAACCGAAATTGAGCTGTAGCCTACACGTACTTGTAAAGCTATTAGATAGATTACATAAACACTGAGCTGTTTCCACTGATATCGAGTGATCCGTCTCTAAAATTATCTCAGTAGCCTAGCTGTACCCCAGGCGCCCACGTGATGTCTCTGTTTCCCAGTTAACCTTTACCATAACAACGGGTTGTCTTCTGGTTAACCACTACTGCTTGACTACAAACATTTCTAAGAAACAAACGCATCAGATGCCTCTCTGCAGCATTCATCCGATTTATTATGCGAATGAGAAAAATAATGCAATTCATTCTTCTCATGACTAAGCTCCTCGCGCGAAATGATCGGAATGCATGACGCTTGGCCTTGCGCGTGAACCTGTTCCTGAGCGCGTGGACCGTAAGGACAGGTGGTTTTAAAAGCAACATCAGTCAGTCTCGCTTTCGAGGTAGGCTTAAACGTGACAGAGCGTTAAAGTGCCCGTAGTTGCGATGTTTCTGTGTTCTACGTCCGAGGAATCTCCGCTGTAAACACAATACAGGTAAGAACACAGGTGAGATGTATACATTAGTGCTACATTCGAGATTTCAAACATAACATTAAAGGGACAGCTCACTCAAAATGAAACTCCTGCCATTATTTACTCAATCTCAATTTGCTTTCAACCCCGTGTGACTGACTTTCTACGTGGAAAATTATGACCCATAGTGACAGTCACAATTTACTTTAATTGTACAGAAAATGATTTATTAGAGCCTGTAACTCTTACACTACGGTGTGAAAATAGTGGCATAATTTTTATTTTCGAGTGAACTATTCGTTTTACGGCGTTTTTTTTAACGAATTTTGTATTAAGTGACCAAGTGAGTTTGTTGATTGTTTGTTGAATAAAGTGAAAATATATTCTGTTATGCAAGACAAATTTCAGACTTAAAATATTATAGTATCATCATACAACAACACTAAAGGTGTTAACTTGTTTTGTTATCACTAAAGGTGGGTTACTGTTATCTCGAAATATGTGTTCTACAGATCATGTGTACTTTTCTTAGTATGATGAATAAACTGAGAAAACAAACTCACACGGAGCCTCACCTTTCCACTTAAAGGGATAGTTCACTTTGAAATTAATTTTTGATGTTTTAGCTCACCTCAAGTGCATCTAAGATGTTGGTGTCTTTGTTTCCACAGTATTTTCAATTTTGATATTTTTAGGTCAAACCGTTTGTGTCTATCAGTCATATAATTATGGGGGTCTATGGGGCCCACCTCAACGAGCATGCACAGAGAAATGACTTGTAAATGTAAGTATACATTGATGAACGGTTTGTGTGAGAAAACGAACATTATTTATATCGTTTTTACCTCTTGTAACAACAGCCACAAAGCGCCTGCGCCCACTTGGTTGTGGTTACAAGAGGTAAAATCTATATAAATACTGTTCGTTTTCCCACACAAACTGCTCGTTTCGTGTCTTAGGCCATCAATGTGTACTAACATTTATGAGTCATAATCATGTTTAATTTGGACTTCTCTGTGCATGCTCTTTGAGGTGGACCCCATACACCTCCATTATATGACTGATAGGCCCAAAAATATAAAAATTGATACTACTGCGGAAACAAAGACATCAACATCTTGGATGCCCTTGAGGTAAGCTAAAACATACCAAAAATTAATTTCAAAGTGAACTATGCCTTTAAGCTGCAGTCTGAAGTTTTGTGCAGTTGACATGACACCTTAAAAGGTATAAGGTATTTGTCACCCATTCTTTCATTAATTACTGTCAATGGAGGGACAGAAATCTCTCAGATTACACTGTAAGACTTTCGTACATCTTCGGAACACATAAAGATCTTTTTGATGAAATCTGAGAGCTTTCTGTCCCTCCATTGAACGTTACACTCTTTAACGTTTCATAAAGGGATCGTAAAGCTAATCCTTACGAATAGGAATTCAGATGAACAGATTTCACAATAGGATCAAGTTGGTTATGCGGATTTGCCTCTTTGACGAACAGAAAACAGTTTGGTTTGAAAGTGACTTTTATGTGTTATAGCCTACATTATTGACTTTTTTTGGTCATGCAGTTTTCCTGATGTGACCAAACCTCTAGTATTTTTGGCTATACTTGCAGTATAGTGATTGCAGTGCAGTCCCAAATCCTAAAATTCAGTTGATTTCAAGGTCTAAACGAGTAAAAAAAATATATCCTATATTTTCAATGGGGTTTTAAACTTGTATGTCTATATGATCTTAACATATGCAAATTTTAACCTAAAATCTTAATGTTAAAAACACATTTTGTCCATTTTACATCATGAAGAATGTGTCTAAAATAGTTGGCTTAATGGCTTTTGTTTTTTTTTTAACAGCTCTGACCATCAAGTTGGCGAGTTCTTTCCTGGCCACATGGGGCTTTTGTTTACTGCAGTTGGTGCACAGCTGAGTGTGTTGTACACCAGTTCTAAAACTCCTGCCATCCAATCAGCTTCATCCTGCTGCGCAGGCGTCACTTCCTTCCCAATGGATACTGCAGTCAATCTGTGTATTCAGTAAAGTGTGTGTCTCTCCGCAGTGGTCCTATCCGGGATCCCCACTGCTAAAATCCCACCTCCCAGCTGACCCACCCATCCCCCCTTCCCTCACACACCCGTGCCACATGAGGCCCTGCAGTGTGACTCAGTCAGTGGACAAACTTACACCACTCTGAGAGTCTGGCCCTGGCTTTCCCCAGCTGCACGCCTCATTTTTTCCAGCGCAAGAGACTCCAAGTGTTCGTTTTTCCCATTCTATAAAGGTAATTATGCATTTGGTTATTTTCTTGGTATTGTTCTTGTAGTAAACCTGTCATTTCTTTAGTCCTTAAGTATGGGTTTGCCATACTGCAGTGCACCACTGTTAAAGCTTCCAGTGAGCGAGCGTAAGCTCCGCGCTGCATGCTGAGTTTGTGGTTTTCGCTTTGAGTGTGCTTGCCTTGTGCACTTGTTACAAGTATGTTGTTTCCTTATTAATGCTTACGGATGTGGTTAATTTTGTGCTCACAGTTTTTGTTTGTGTATAGATGTGCTTTTGGCTGTATCTGCAAATGTAACAGAGGTTTTGATGGTCTATGAACCTTTAATTATCTTCAGTGACTGGACAAATATCATAAAAGTTTGCTAAGTCGGACTTTGTCCTCAGTTGTTTTGAGTTTGTTTCTTTTTTTGGATATATATACAACATGTACGTTTAATTACAATTGCAATCAACAGCTGTCTTTGGTAGCACAGTCTTCAGACACATGGTTTCACCCCCTCTTGGTAGGTGACAATACAGAGCACTCAGCCCTTTATGGGTGGTCCTTATAGTGTGATGGCAGAGTCTTGGTGTGTAATAGTCTTGATTGATTGTCAGCTTTAACATATTGTGATGAATGAGCGTAAAAGGGAAGTTCATGCAGTTCACACAATCTAAGATCAGCATTCTTTTAAAGGGGCGTTTACACAAATAATTGCAGCTACAAAGCAATCGGAAGTCATTATTTTGCACATATCGCGATACGCATGTCATAACGTCTTGCAATAACTGGTGTCATGAACAAAATCCCTCACTTGACTGAATAACTTAGTAAGAATCAGTGTGTATTTAATTTATACAGTGAAGATTAAGCAGTGTTGTAATTTTACATTTGATTAGTTTCTGTAGTAAACCTAATGTAGACCTTATGAAAGCCTAAACCCCTATTTTACACTGATGTTAAAATTACACTTACTGCTTATGCTACAGTAAAACTGCTTTGCTTTTTCAGAAGTTGTAAGGATGCTTTCTACTGACAAAAAGAATGTGAAACATGAGTGTAGGTTATATAATTTTAAATAAAATTTAAGTTTTTTTACACGCTTTGAGCTGTATCCCATATCGAATATTGCATTATTTTGCATTATATTGTGATCTTATATCTCGTTTTTATTCAATACCGTGCATCCCTATATATAAGTTCTTGGTAATTAAAATGAAGCTTATTTCCATTAGTTGCCAGGGCAAAAGGGCTAATTTTGTACTATAATTACTGAAAATTAAATAAAAATAAAGAAGAATAAACTTCTTTGAAAAGAATTACTAAACATTTTAATTCAAATGTAAGCAGAAAGTCACTTCAGAATACGGATATGCAGATATAAACTATAACAGTATTTAGAAAATACTAAAATAACACTGAATCAAGCTACGGTCTTTATTTTACTTTCCAAATACACAACACAGTTTCTAATTGCATATCTTAAGGGTTTATATATATATATATATATATATATATATATGAAGAGTTCAGATGCAAAAGCCTCAAAGTGCCATTTGAAATTTTCTTCTAAAATGATCATTTTTATCAAGCTTATATATTTAAGTTCAGTAATTTCACTTAAATGACAATGAAGATTACCTATTAATTGCCATTTAAGTGAAATTACTGAACTTAAATATACAAGCTTGATAAAAATGATCATTCTAGAAGAAAATTTCAAATGGCACTTAGAGGCTTTTGCATCTGAACTCTTCATATATATATATATATATTGTGCGTTACCATCTGGCAGGTAAACTGTGCTACCTATTACGTTCTTTAGAAAAGCTGTTAAACCACTATATGCATTTTAGGCATTCCTGCTATGGCGAATTCGCTGAGGGCAACTGTAAGATTAATGGCAAAGGACGAGATCAGTGAGGAGAAGGAAGGAACTAAAGAAATGGAGGACACCCTGGAAGAGCCCGCAGAAGAGGAAGAGAATGAAGAAGAGAGAAAGGCACGGGCCGCAGCAGAGGAGACAGCGGCCAAAGAGAGAGCCGCTCAGAGGCAGCTCATGACTATAGAGGAGCTGGTGCAGACTGAGAGGAACTACCTGAAACATTTGCAGCTCTGTACAGTCACCATCAACAGCAACCTGCAGAAACTCCAGGTACACAAGTCCTCTTGTAATCCCCATTTTATATCTGTTAAGGTGCCACACATCTGTTATTTACAAGACCAACTGCCTGTGTTGTATATGTATTGCTTCCACCACCACTGAAATACCATTGAAGCACTCTATCTTTACTATATAAACATGTTAATAATCTAATTAGATAATACAACAATTAGCCTCTAAACTCTACTTTAAGTAAATGTGTCCTTGCATTAGTTACAGGAAGGGTTGCCAACTTCCGAAAAGAAAAATGCGGGACAATTAGGGTCATTATTACAATATTTTGGTGATCGGTTTTGTTGACAGGGGTGGGGCGTTTCACATGTGCAGCTTTTACGGGCATCAGTATGCGGGATTTTTATAAATAACATACATCTAGATAGATTAGATAAATCATTCTCAATGTATAGTTTATTTGTATGGTAGGATGCGCATGACTGGATGAGGACCGGTGTCGTGGTGGTGATTCAACAATCGGGACGTCCCGGCTAATTCGGGACAGTTGGCATCCCTAGTTACAGGCCACCACACTACTTCTATAAAAAACTTTAACTTATGACATAATCAGAAACCAAGCAAACATAAACAATAAAGACGTAATATTAAAGAAAATAAGAATTCGAATTGAGATTATACTTGTATTAATTTTTGATTCAAACCAGGAGGGAGTGGGCCATGAAGCAGAAATGGCTCATAATTGGGACTAAATGATTTTGCTTCTCACATATTTGAAATGTATAACCATTGTTGCTTTAATGATATCATATCATATATATTATTGGGTCCCTTGCAGCCTCCTCCACCGAACCTAGAGAACATGTTCCAGCACGTTGAAGAAGTGATGGATGTTTCCAGCAGACTCTTGAGCCTCTTAGACCAGGCACAGATGCATCACAGCGACACGAAATACCTGCAAATTCTCTGTAAGAAACAGCCGGACAGACTGGAATTTCCAGTTCACTTTCGATTTCCCAGTTCTTTCTCAGTCATGCTGTTTGCGTGTCATGCACACCTACGGATCAACATATTTTTTCCTTGAGCTCACGGTTGAAGAATCCAGAACTTGAATTTCAAGTTGAGAATAATGATGTTTGAGGTTTAGAATGTTATGTGTAAATTCCTTATGTTTGGATCTCTCTTATGCTGGCTAAGGCTACATTTATTTGATCAAAAAGGCAGTAAAAACAGTAATGTTGTGAAATATTATTTCATTCTAAATATATTTTCGTTATATTATAGTTTTAATATATTTGAGAATAAAAGGTAACACTTTATTTCGATAGTCCACTTTAGATATTCTATTAACTGTAAGTAACTTTTCAACTACATGTCAAGTAACTCTCTTTTGAGTATTAGTAGACTGTTTGCAAAATATCTGCAAACACTTTATTTTGTTGGTCCCCCAACAGACATTCAACTGACTATAAGTAACTTGGCGACTACAAGTAAACTTATTCTCCTAACTAAAGCCTAACACCTAAACATAACCTAACAGTCTACTGACAGTCTACTAATACTCTAATGAGAGTTAGTTGACATGTAGTTGAAAAGTTACTTATAATTAGTAGAACGTCTAAAGTGACTATCGAAATAAAGTGTAACCGAATAAAAAAAAAAAAAAAAAAAAATGCATCATTATGCCAGTCTTCAGCGTCACATGATCCTTCAGAAATCATTCTAATATGCTGATTTGCTGCTCAAGAAGCATTTCTTATCAATGTTAAAGAAATATTTTTGTGGAAACCATGAAATGTTTTTTCAAAATTTTGATGAACAGAAAATTTTAAAGAAAACCAGGCATTTATTTAAAATTATTTCAAAATTATCTTTTGAAAAAAAATGATAAATGTCTTTTGTCACTTTTGATCAATTTAATGCATTCTTTCTTTAAAAAGAAAATAAATCCTTCTCAACCCAAACCTTTGAAAGGTAGTGTTCTGTATGTTGTATGGAAAAGATGTAAATCTTGTTTTCTATTATAAAGTATCTTATTCTTTCTCTCAGGTGACTCTTTCCTTAGTCTGTCTCAAGATATAGAGATGGCCTATAAGGAATATCTTGCCAACTACAACAACATCACTGCTCTAGAGAACAGCTACAAACAGAAAGAGGCCCTGTGGTTAGAAATGATCCGAATCATCAAGTCATCTGCGTAAGTTCATGAACATCAACCAACTGTATGTCTCGAACATCTCCTTGAGGGCACAATGACTTCCTAGACAAATATACCTGTGTATTACCCAACATTCCTTCCATTTTTGACCCCTAACCCCATCTGTCTTCAGTCCTGACGTGAATGCGTCCACTCTGAGTTTCTTCCTGGTGATGCCGGTTCAGAGAATCGCCCGTTACCCCCTGCTGCTCCAGACCATCCAGAAACACACAGACCCCCGACACCCAGCCTACCTCATCCTGGAGCACACCGCTCACACTGCGGTCCAGATCAATTGCAGGATCAATGAATACAAACGCTTCCGTGAAGTGGGTGAGAACATGCACGCAATTTAGAAAGCAAAGCAGACCAAAGCAAAGTATGCAAATCCACTGATAACAATGTCATAAAAACATGAATGGAATGCTTGAGAGTGATTATTCTCATTCTCTCACTGTCACAGCTGACAAGTACAAGAAGACCGAGAACCTGACCATCAAGGACAAGATTAATCGACTCAGTGGCCACAGCATTGCCAAGAAGACGGCCCGGTTTAGCCAGTACATAAAGCATGAGACAGGAATGGTGCCAAAGGTAAATGACATACAGTGATGCTACACTGAAGAACAATGTTTGGTCTAAACAAAGGAACCGAAATGTTTGGCATGTTGAAAGAACCACATTGTTTCCATAAAGCATCAGACACCATTCAAATAGTTCTTAAATGATGATTTGTAAATCAATCCCGTAGCTAAAGGATGAAGAATATGATGCTCTTGCTGGCTTCTTCTTTGTCCTGGAGAGAGGCGTCTCAGAGCTTCATGATAACATGGAGGCTTATCTCCAACATCTACAGGTTTGCTTTTACTGTTCTTTATCTTAATGGCTATAGTTACAAATTAACTCAAAGAGTTGATCTTCTCATTTGTCTTGGTGTTCCCTCAATGTGAAGCAAGTACGTCCATCGATCAAACTCTTTAACATTTTTTCATTGTTTTTCCAGCTGGTGAATGAAAGGAAAATAATGTGTGAGGGTTGATCCTTGGAGTCGCTTGGAGTGTTTGTAATGATTTATTTAACCATCTGAGCTCTGTTTCTGTGTACAGAGGTTCCTCAGCTGCAGACCAGAGGAAGCTGATCTTGATCTGGAAGGGGAGAAAACTGCCTTGTTCTCTAAAGAAATCACAGTAGCACTCAGACAGTGGATTTACCCCTCATATGTAAGACCTTAAGGAGATTACAGTTCACATCCTTCAAAGACATTCTGAGAGATTTAGTTCTTGTGAATCTTTCAAACTTAGTTGTGTGTTTTTGGGAGGGAAACTTAAAATCCTAAGTGTACATCTTCAAGCTTTACAGCTTCTCTATCGAAAATGAGTAGAATTAAGTCATTTTATTTGGCATGAATGAAACAAGGATGTGAATGGACAGAATGATTGTTTAATATGTTGTACTCGTTTCCAGGTTTTAGCCACCGCTATCCCTCACTGCCTCATTTTTGTACATGTCAAATTAAATATGGCATCTTTGACTAAAGTCTGGATCACCAACATTTGTCATGAGTCCGTATTTCTTCTCTGTGGTGCCTCTATTCACCAATTTAGTTCTCTCCATTCATCAATGTCTAACCCTGCTGGAACCAATACAGCTGCAAAAACACCATGTATCATGTAGGGATACAATTTGTGCCAAGATCTTTTAACTGTTCACCAGCCATTGAAATTATGGTTTGCACACAGCCCCCTTTTTTAGCAGTAGGCTTCTTATTTGAGAGGAAGACTGTATGCACTATAATGACAAATCATCAATCAGTTTTTGGTTATTGATTAAATTAACCATCTACATTTCTTGTACTGTATTTTTCTCCACTTTTGCTGCTACTAACAGGAGAGTCGTTTGAAGACACTAGTCTTTAAGCCCTTGAGCTCACTGCAAGAGCTGATGGCTGGACCACGAAACCTCATCCGCAAACGTCAAGACAAGCTCCTGGACTATGAGCTAATCGAGGAGAAGAGTAACCTGACTTTTGAGGAGCAAGCCGTAGCCAACACCTACAAGACCATCAACACTCTGCTGCTGACCGAGCTGCCGCAGTTCAACGGGAAAGCCCTTCAGCTCCTGTGGGCCACGCTAGAGGCCTTCAGCTGCCTGCAGAGAGACCTGGCGGCAGATATGGAGCAGCTCGCCACCAGCTTTACCCATCAGGTACTTTTTAAAGGAAATGATACAACACTCGGGTGGACAAAATACAGTGAGCTTTAGGCCATGTCCACAGTAATACATTTTCGTTTGGCCTTCCGTCCACACTGAGGCCGCACTGACGTCTCCAAAACGGATAAATTTGAAAATGCTGTTTTCGCGTTGTAAAGCCGGAGGTATTTAAAAAAAAAATGACGCAAGTTTAGTCATGTGATCCATGTTGTACCAATAGATTGATGTTTACTAACGGTATTGTGCCTGTTATGTGCTATTCACAGCACTGTTGCTAAAATATGTGACTTTGCACACTCTTCATATCACTGTACTGCAAAGATGACAGAATATGTACTCACATTTGCTGTCCTGCGGCAATACAGGAGAGCTGTTGCGTTTTTGACCAAACATATGGTGACTGAGTGCGACTTGGACGCATCAGTGATGGTGAGATATTTAGCTGAATATAATGATCCTGTTAGAAGTATTGCGCGATAACTTAACTTATATTATTTATTTTTCCATCTGTATCATCTCAGTGAACTTTTGTGAGGTTCACGTATGGGCAGTAAGGTGAATTTCGAAGTTTCTCATTCACACTGAAACGTTGGAAAATGCTGGAGTGGACGGAGAGCGTTTTTAAACAAAAACGTAGTTTTCAAATGTATCCATATTAATGTGGACGTAACCTTTTATAGTACGGTTCTCTCAAATGATGCATTTTGTCCTGGTTCACTTAGCATTCACACTGTCATTTTTATCACTGAATCTAAAACAAAAAATCTGGTGTAATGACGTACATTTAAAAAAACTTACCGAACATCCAAAACAATGTTGCCTACTGGGCTAAATGTGATATTTTTATCAGTTGATAACTTAAGATGTTATAAAAATGTGTAAAGGAGTCAAAACAGCGCCAGGAATTCCTTCACACACACAAACAAAGATCTGCTGACAAGACAAGGTATTTCTGACACCTGTACCAAACTATAGTGGGCAACATGAGGAACACTATGATTAGATCTTCGTTTGTGATTGTGATGGAGGGATTCCTGCCACAGTTTTGACTACTTTACACATTTTAGAACCTCTTCATGAGATCTCAGCTCCATCACATACCATCATACTGTATGTATGCGCATACACACATACAAAAGCGGTCACTGGGACGCTACCCTTTAAAAGGTTCTAATATGTACCAATATCTACTCTTTACCTTTTGAAAAATTACCGCCCCAGTGACAGCTTTTGAACCTTTATTTCTAAGAGTGAACAGCAAGCGCATTTGGCACAACATACAGCATTGTTTTGGATGTTTGACTAGTTCCGTTGCAAAATATATCCATCGTTTTTTGTTGTTTTGTTTCTTTAGGTTAGTTATTAAAAATGACTGTGTGAACGCCAAGCGAACCAGTACTAAATGTGTCATTTTCTTTTTTGGTCTGGACCAAAAGAACCTAGAAAACCAAACTACAAGTGTGAACACACCCTAAATCGAACCAAACCTGAACACACCCTTAGAGATAACCAAGTGCCAGTTTAATTTCTACAGTGCCTAATAAATGTATAAATGAGCCTACTACTTTCAATCAGATCCATCATCCTAAATTTATTTTTTTGATCATCCACAAAAAAAAAAAAAAAAAATAACAATATTAAATCAGCATAAATGAAATGCAGTACATACCGTATACATTTGCAAATAAAATACTAATTATTTTTTTTCACATGAAAATATACATTACAAAAAATCTTAATGGAGCAAAACATTATTTTTCATCATGCAAAATTGTATTTTTATATTTTTTTCTTTTGATTTTCGAGTAAATTATAATTTGGACATGTTCTTGGACATAGGTTTCACGAGATTCACCTTCACAGTAGTTATGTCATCCTCATGATTACACTTTAATACCTATCAATTCCAGGAACTGTTAAACGTTCTGTGCAATAATCCACCACTGGACGACACTGCAAGCATGTGGTTGGAAAAGTGTTATTAAATTTAGCTTTTTTGCAGACTGGCAGTGTGTATGAATTGCTCTCTGTCTCCTTGGCAGCTCCCACACACTTATTTGGAAGCTGGTGAGTTCTGGAAGTGGGCAGAGACTTCGGTGCTGGAGGGTTCGAGGAGGATGGAGAGCCTGTGTCAGAGTGTTCAAGATGAGCTCAATGCTCCCATTGTGCAGGTCAGTTCCAACACAGAGGCGCACTATTGTCTGTTGCCGAGTGGAGACGTCTTCCTACGGGACAGTTTGTCCCCTTACTGCAGTTTAACTGTGCCTGTGGACAGTGTTGGCGTACAACCATAGCTAAATGCAGCCATTCATTCATCTTGATGTAATTTAGACCTCATGTGTTTTACATCAATTCATCCATTAATTTCGAACATACCGTAGTAAAATATGTCATGTCCTCGGGTCTCTGTATTACGGGTGGCCCTAAACAGCTGCTTTTTATTTAGTCAAGTGCAAACGCAAATCACAGTAAAAATATACTACCGGTCAAAACGGAAGTGTATTTGGCCAAAAATGTTGGGGACGGGGCTTGATCATGCCTCAGAATTTGATTGGTTTGTGAAAACTGAGCTATGATATTTATCAGAGAAGAAAAGCTGTTTCTTAATGTTCACTAATGAATCAAGGAAATTAAGACTAGAATAGACTAGAAGTCCATTATGATTTGATGTTGTGTAAATATTTTAATATCATCGTCTTTTGTCAATGTAAGCAGAGACGGCACCATTGTTTCATATTTCATACTTCTCTGTCTGTCATGTCATATGCATTAGAACATCTCTACAGCTAATGACACAAACAGATGATATTACCCAGAGTCTCAGCATTCAGGTTCTGATCAATATAATGTCTGCCATCTCTAGGAAATCAGTCCTGGTGAAGGTAGAAGGATCAAACAGAGAGATGACCTGTTATCTTCAGAAGTACTGCGTGTTTTCTGAAAGATCACCGATGTATATCATTGGAGTATTTTCCTCTCATGTTAATTCCCTTTTCTCAGTTCAAAGTGATCCAGCCCTGTAATTACTGCACATCATGTACATTCTAAGTGCAGTTTATTCAGCTGCACGCAATATCACGTTAAATTTGATTAGGTACTAAATAAAACCTGTTTTTCTGTTTCATGTCTTTGACGTCTCAGCCGCCCAGTCCCGCGTGTGAGCAGCGTCTCAAGGCTCTGAACGCTAAGCATAGCTCGGAGAAGATCTACCAGCTGACAGGCCCTGTGGTGGGCACCCGTGACCTTGACCTGACCCTCAGTAAGGGAGAGCTGGTAGCTGTCGTCAGTGAGATGGACACGAGAGGAGACCGTCGCCGCTGGCTGGTTGATGCAGGAGGTAAAAGTGGCATGTGGAAACCTGTGAAGAATTAGGTCATTGTGCATTTAAAGATAACTGAGCTAGCTGGAATCAGTTTATACTTGAAGATGTACTATTGGGTGAACAATTTGATTTAATTCTCTTATATACTGCATGCAAATGGGCCTAAGAACAAATTGGAAAATAGTTATGCATATGTGAACAAAATGTCTTTTCTTAAAGGGATACTCCAGGTTTTTTTTTGGAAATAGGCACATTTTACGACTCCCCCAGAGTTAAACAGTTGAGTTTTACCGTTTTCGAATCCATTCAGCCGATTTTCTGATAATTAGAAGAATATCAGTAACCAGACAGTTTCTGGAAAAAAAATATACTATGGAAGTCAATGAGACCAGAAACGGTCTGGTTGCTGATATTCTTCTAAATATCAGACAGTCGGCTGAATGGATTCGAAAACGGTAAAACTCGACTGTTTAACTACTCTGGGCGAGTGGTAAAATGAGCCAAAAAAAAGGTAGAGTATGCAAAAAAAGTTTCCAAAAAAAGTAGAGCATCCCTTTAAGTTAAACTTGCTTTAATGCTCAGAACAACCCCTCTGCCAAAATATATTTCACGTTCTCTAATGCAATATAAAATCCATCTGATTAAACCGCTTTAAAGCAAAATATAAACTGTCTATTAATGTAGTGATAGTTTCATAGTGTGTGGCATCTACAAAATGGAAATATTAGTCTAATGACAATAATGGAGGTGTACTGTAATAATGGTTAATTTGTTTGAAAAAGGTGGTGCTAGAGAACATAATCTAAATGTATTTTAAACATTCATATTTTGTCTAAAATTGCTTTTCATATCATTTTGGTTGTACTACTTAGTAGTTTGTTTTGACTTTAGTATGTTCCTTGGACCCAGAAAGGTGAACATAAATCAACCAATCAGATTTTAGGTATCGGTTTACAGTTAATGTCAAGTTCAGGCTTACAACAAGGGTTAGGGACTTCTATACTCCTTTTAGCACTTCCCTCTTGATCCTTTAAAGGGATAAATTATGGGGTAGGAATAGGTTAGGTTAAGTATATATATATATATATATATATATATATATATAGTGCTCAGCATAAATGAGTAGTACACCCCCTTTGAAAAGTAACATTTTAAACAATATCTCAATGAACAAAAAACAAACAAAAATACAAGTTCATCTAGTACTTTGTTTGGCCTCCATGATTTTTATTGATAGCACCAAGTCTTCTAGGCATGGAATGAACAAGTTGGTGATCTATCTTTTTCCATTCTTCAAGAATGACCTCTTTTAGAGACTGGATGCTGGATGGAGAGTGATTCTTAACTTGTCTCTTCAGAACTCCGCATAGTTTATATATTATATATATAAAATATAATATATCCAGCCCAGTATAGATAGTATTACCAGTACAACAATTGCTGCTGTAAGCCGTTGGTAATGCTATGACTGACATCTACTGGTCAAGTATAGTTAAGGCACTCTTTCAAATCAGCTTTCACCAATCTGCAGAATAAAGCTAATTAAATATGCGGATTTGAGTGTCTTGATAAGACTGTTTTTCATTAACTTCAGGCCCGAGGGGATATGTGCCTGCTTCAAAACTGACACGCTACCACCAGCTGACTGTTGACCCTCCGCAGTCTCCACATCTGAACGTTGTGCCCACCGGTCCAGGACCCCGAAGACACTCCTACACACCCGGAGCCCAGCCGCTCCTAAACAACGTGTCCACACCCTGTTTTCAGGTGAGTGACACACACAGGCACAGACATGCGCTTTGACTGACACGAATCAGACCCAGTAACAAGGTGGCCTTATGACCCGTCAAACAGAACGAGACCTTTGGAGATTGATGGCAGGTTTGCAGTATCTCATGATCATCAATCACACACTTCAGCATTTGTGAATTCAGTATTGGAAGAACAGAAATGAACTGCCGTTCCTTGTCAGGAGAAGTGATGTACTATATCACGGCCACCTACACACCCGCGGCACCCACACATACCAGCTCTGATTACTCTGATTCAGTCATCTTCTTAATCTGACAGTCAAATGGTTCCATATCATTTTAGCTTCATGTTTGGGAGAGCAGAAATGTGGGAGGCAGATTTTGACTGTGGGAGATGCACTGCTGTTGTAAAAATGTGATTCATTTTTCTGAACAACCTTCACAGGTTATATATCATTGTGACTATGACAGTGCAGAAATTCTCTTTCAGCTTGTGAGGAAAAACGACTGGCTAACATTTACGGCTCCCAGATCAATTACATATCCAGTTTTTGTAGTCAAGTGGATTTTTGTTATAATAACTTTGCATTTATAAAGCATTGTTTTTAAAAGCAATATTTTCTGAAGAGAATGTGATTTGTTTGCCGAAGCAGAACTCGCCACAGTGGTGTTCTGGGTAGCTTTTAGCATATTTATGATGTTACTTATTGGCAAAAAATAATCTCCCTAGATATGGTTTAGGGCTCTCTTTGAATAGATTGTTTTAATCTTTTTTAGACATTTATGCTATGTATTATAAATATGCCATGTATCAAAACTAAAATTAGTTTTGAACTAAAAGACTACAGTTTTAGTTCATTAGTTTTTAACTAAAATTAGTTTTAAACTAAAACCATTTTTGTTTATTAGTTAAATATATTAGTCTAGTTTTAGTTTTATGTTAATCTTTTTAGTTAACTGTGTAAAGTCGGCATGCAATAATTATTCTCCCTATTTTTTAGAGGTTTGTTCGAATTCCTGTGAGAAGGTGTGATCAATAGTGATGCTAGCTTTAGCAAGCACCACTAATGAACATGATTCATAAAGCATTATGGGTATTAGCCACTGGGGGGAGCACTTCATCTAATTTATCCTATCAGATTTTCTATTTTTATTTCCTTATGAGCTGTAATATCATAAACATCCCACTCTTAACACTTGAACATTTGTCAAGCACATTGTGTAACACTAAATACCACTCAACTATCAAATCTATCAAAGATGCTGCATATACTCGACAAACTCATACATTCTCTAGACAGATTTCTTATTCGGTTTTGATATTTGCGTGGGTTGGCTGTGTTTACTCTTGGCATTAACATGCGATCACCGTGATCCGATCAAGCAGATGAGGACACGGTACGTTTACAGCTGTCCTTATCGAGTTGCTTCTGTATCTGGATCACAGATTGGATCTTGTATTACCGTGAAGGAAAAAAAAAGAAAATAAAGAAGGATGGCTCTGGTGCAAAGATGACCTGAAGTGGTGGGTTTTCTTTTAAAAAGAGTTTTCAGTTTCAGAGTTTTCTTGCAAAATGAGGAGGATGAAGAGGCTGCAAGTACTAATATTGTGGATAGATGCCGTAATGGAAACGGTTTAGACTAGAGTAACGTATGGGTCCGAGGACGTTGCCAGCTGTGGTGGGAAAAATGCACGTTCTTTACAGAAAATGAATGCTTCTGCAATTTTCGGATGCAGAGGCAAACATTGCAGTATATTTGCGATGTACTTCACACTCAATTCTTTGGCAAAAACCACACAATTACGTTCCTGGAGAGAGGAGGGGGAATAATGACAGTGGGCGGGGTTTTGTGTGATGTCCACCTGTGAATGCAGACACGATGGCTGGATTGCGTTACATTACACTGAGATCCGATTTTACGCTGTCAAGAGATTAATCGCATTCAAAATAAAATTTTGTGTTTACATAATATATGTGGGTGCACTGCCTATGAATTTTATATATATATATATATATATATATATATATACACAGGCTTGTATATATTTTCATATATGTACTGTATATAGACCATTTCACAAGATGTAAACAACACTGGTCCAGAAGCACTTCCTGTTTCAGTTTTTTAACACTACATAAAAGCTGGGATAAAATACAACCAACAGAACATTTAAAACTGAATCAAAAAGTTAAACAAACATCTTTAAGATGTTTTCTTTACATGTGAAATAAAGAAAACGGTTACAAACTGAAACAGGAAGTGCGATCTGGACCAGTGTTGTTTACATCTTGTGAAATGGTCTAATATTTCAATATATAAATATAAATATTCTATATATAAATAATATTTTTTTTTCTTAAATATACATGCATGTGTGTGTGTGTTTATTTATACTGTATATATATATATATATATATATATTAGGGCTGTGCAAAAATTAATTGTGATTAATCGCATCTAAAATAAAAGTCTCTGTTTTCATAATATATTTGTGTGTGCTGTATATAATTATTTTGTATACATAAATACCTATGCATGCATGTATATATTTAAGAATTATTTGCGCTTAAATTCTGTATATATATATATATATATATATATATATAAATACATAATCTATATTATATAAATATTTTATATATGAATAACACATTTTCTTAAATATATACATGCATGTGTGTGTGTGTGTATTTATATATACAAAATAATTATATACAGCACACACAAATATATTACGTAAACACAGACTTTTATTTTGGATGCGATTAATCGCAATTAATTTTTGCACAGCCCTAATATATATACAAAATAATTATACACAGTGCAGCCACATGTATTATGTAAACACAAACTTTTATTTTGGATGCAATTAATCATTTGACAGCCCTAATCCGATCACAATGCGTCCTCGACTACCTCCGAACCTGGCTGATCAGAAAACATTCTTTTACACTTGTCTTTTCAATGTGTATGTGGACATCCAAGTACTGGTCGCATGTTAATGCCAAGTGTAAACTCAGAACTCACAGAAAATAACTCATCTTATTATAAGACACTTTATTTTCTCCTCCCATTTGCAGGTGTACGCGGGCTATGACTTCACCGCGAGGAGCAGTCGGGAGATTTCTCTGAGGGCTGGTGAGCCGGTGCGGGTGGTAGAGCCTCACGATAAGCGCGGAAACAAGGAATGGAGTCTGGTGGAGACGCGTGGCCAAAGAGGCTACGTCCCCTCCAACTACCTTGCCATCCTCCCCTCTGTGATCGCCTCACCCACCTTCCCTTATCGCTAGCTGTGCATAATATCCATGACTAAACATCATCTGCTGCTGCTAAGAGTCTGCTAGCCAGTATCCAAACACACACAGACCACGAGAAGCACTTTCCCTTTAGGGCTCAGTGAGGGGGCGGATGGCTGCTGTTTGATGCGTCATTTGACTGGTGTATGTACTGGAGTGGTGCTTGAGCCCTGCTGTGGAGTGGTCGTCCATATACTTGATCTGCGCTTTGCCAAGGCCTGTTACTGGTGGAGATAGTTTTATCCAATGAGAGAAAAGCTGCAGGGACATGCAGAGACATGCTGTGGTAGCGCACAGCTACTGGTGGAGTGTGCTGTTTCCTAGACTTACCGCTTGGATCAACACCTCAGCCGCCTGTCAAATGATGCTTTGGGCTGCCCTGGTACTAATTTGTCTGCTTTACTGTCTTACTATTGAAGAAACTGAGAGTATGGATCTTATTTTTATGAGTCAATCCTCTTTTGCACTGGTTTTTCCAGCTTACTTGAGATGAATAACGTCTGCATTTTTAAAGACCAGAATATTCTTACAAAATTAGTGTTTTTGTACCATTTTAGGAATACTTGATGGGAAGTTTTATTGTTATTTAAATGTATACAGTGGATCTAAAAAGTATTTGGACACTAAGAACACAAATTCCTATAAAATAATGCATGTCATTAATGCATAGATAACAAAATATCAATCCAACTGATATATGGTTCAATATTAAGGCAAAAAAAAAAGTGGTCGACTGATAATTGCGTTTTTAAAAAAAAATATTTGCAACAGCTGAAGAGTTGTCTGTTTGCCTGATTAATGTTGGCAGACTTTTATTTTGACAGTGATGAGAAGGCCTTAGGATCTCCTGTTCTCCAAATTGGATGCGAAAAGGAGAATTCTGTTGTCACTGGAAACACGTGAACGACAAATTTTTAAGTTCTTTATTTCAAACTATGCTGTGCTATATATAAAATTAGCGTCGGCAGGTCTTTTTTTAAGAAAATATGATTCCCAGTACGCACAGATTTGCCAGATTACTGAGTTTACATTTTGCGTCCTTTTTGTGAAAAATACTATAATATGAATACAGAAACTAGAAGTTGCTATCTAAAGTATAAATCTTTGCAGGTTTACTTTTAAATTAAGTTCAGTTATTTTTTTAAATGGATTGATTTTCAAAATACTTCCAATTTGGCAATTTTTACATTAAAAAAAGTAAAAATTTTATTCCAAAATGTGATATTCGCTCTCTTTCCATTAGATATCATATAAATCGGTTTCATACCATTGGCCACCCTGCTCTCAAAAATATCAGCATTGAGATCAACCATTTAAAAAAATCAATATCAGTCGACCATTCAAAAAATAATAACACTTTATTTTACAGTCCTGTTCCCCATGTACATACTATGTGCTAATGTAATAACTGGTTAATAACTAAGTACTAACACCTAAACCTAGCCTTAACCCTTATATTACCTAGTAATTTCTTAGGTAAGTTCACTGTAAGTACACATAATGTGCATATACTATAAAATAATGTGTAATGATACTTTCTATTTGTCAAATATAGTAGTTAATAGTTCAGTAGCCCTCAAACCGTATTCACTTTATAGCCCTTAATCCTATAATTGTGGACAAATGTGGGTACAGAGGATTCAGGTGTGATCCTAATTTTTATTTATTATAAATGTTAAATCACTGTCTTCGATGAAGTTTTGTCTGTCCATTCATGGTGTTTATTTTTTTATTTTGGGGTGCTTTTTAATTTATTTACTTCAAAAAGTGTCATATTTTCTATGTAAATTGTGCTTATTTTTTATGTTTTAATTTTTTTTTTAACTACATTAAAATATCATTCCACTAAGTTCTTAGAGCTAAAACCTAAAGATAAAGTGACTTTGCTGTCACCTGGTGTCTCATTTTGGCTTATTTTAGAAAGCTCTAAATTACAGTTTCTCCCATTCATTTCTATGGGTGCCCATTTTTGACCCAAATACAAGATTAAGGAGTTTGTTTTGTTTTTTTTCACCCACTTAACATTGTAGAATTGAGTAAAAACAAATTGTGTGTGTTCAGGAGGCAAACTTAGGAAAAGTAGCCAAGTCTTGTACCGCTCAAATCAAGGGAAGTATTTTTTTAAAAATAAATCAAAACTATTTTGCCCACATTTGTCCAGAATACGGTTTTAGGGTTAATTCAGATTTGTTTTCATGTGCTGGTTGGATTGATATTTATTTATTAATGCAGTGGCATTCATACATTTTTGATTGCGTCTTAAATGTCCAA